GCAGTGGGGTGCCCTGAGTGTCTTCAAGCATTTGTGGTTGTCCTACAGCAAGGAGAACTTCCAGTCAAAGGACAGGGCCCTGGGGAAATTCAAATAATGCAATTTCAAAGGGTTAGGACTTTCCTGGTGGCGCATTGGTTAAGAATCCGCCTGCTAATGCAGGGGACACGGGGTTCGATCCCTGGTCCGGGAAGATCCCACATGCCGCGGAGCAACTAAGACCGTGCGCCACAACTACTGAGTCTGCGCTCTAGAGCCCGCAAGCCACAACTACTGAGCCCGTGCACCACAGCTACTGAAGCCCGCATTCCTAGAGCCGGTGCTCTGCAACAAGAGAAGCCCACGCGCCTAAACAAAGAGCAGCCCCTGCTCACTGCAACTAAAGCCCACGCGTAGCAACGAAGACCCAATGCAGCCAAAAATTAAAACATAAACTAATTTTTAAAAATAAAATAAAAGGGTTCTTGGTCAGTAAAACTATTTGCTTTCAAAGGAAATCCTTTTTGAAGCACTCCTTTCAGAATTCCAATTAGAGATTTGAGACATATCGGCGCATAAATGGAAGAGCTTTAAATTGTAGAACAATATTGAGGTTACTAACATCATACTGTTTGAGCCATCAAATAAACGTTCCACAGTATTTAGTTCATAACACATTTCAAGTTATATCTGTGTTAATGTGTGTTAATAGTCCCTTTAATTATTCTAATGAGACCTCCTTGCTTGCCAAGCTAGATTCTCATTCCATTTAGCCTGTTACGCTACCGTTCAGTTTTTCATGGGTTCCCTAAAATGGGTGGTAAGGGAGTCAGTTCTGTCCAGGGCAGCGGATAGCTTGTGTCTGTGACTCTGAATTCACGCATTTCTTCCACAAAGGTTTATGAGCACCTGTTGGGTTCCAGGACTAAACCCTGGAGACAAAACTCAACCAAGACACAGTTTACACCTTGCAAGAAGAGTCTATGATCCAGTTAGGGGTGAGCAGGTGATTAGCATGCAGAGTGTAACTGGGCAGGAAAGGGGTTAAAGCAGGGGAGTGTGCTCAAGCCTGGCTTCTAGGAGTGTTGTGTTGAAGCTGAGACACAAGGAAAAGGCAGCAGGAGCCAGGAAGAGTAAGAGCAGGTGTCCCAGCTCAGAGGAAACAGCCTGAGAAAGACCTGGCGGCATTAGCATCCCATACGCACCGGCCTCCACTGGGTAGGTTACCTTGACCTTGTGGCCTGAGTCTCCAGGATCCCAGGTCCCTCTTCATTCTTAGCTCAGATAACCTTAGGAACCAGGTTCCCTAGCTCGGGTGACTGAGGCGTACTTGTGCAGTACACCTTTGTGTTCTCAGATTTCAGTTTCAACTGGGAAATCTTCGAGAGGCAAACTCATCCCCCAGCACCACAAAAAAAGTTAATAATGTACTTTTTATGTTACTGAGGATAGATTCAAATAAAATGATATGAAGTGAAATATACAGCCAATGAAAACATAAGTCAAAAGAAACTTATTTTAATAACTGGGTTCAACTACTTTAATCTGGGATTTATGAAATCATGTGGGGCTTGAAAGGGTGACTTGAATCTTTTACTTGTATTGTACTGAATTTTACTAGAATAAGCTTCACAGGGGCAAGAACCTTGATCTGTTTTGCTTCATGGATGTTTCCCAAGTGCCTAGAATACCACTTGGCACACAGTAGGAATTCAATAAATATTTGTTGACAGATACAAGGACTTTTATGGAGAAATTACATTCTGGGTAAGTTTCCTACATCCTGGACCCTTGATTATCAAGGGTCCATGGTGCTGTAAAGAAGGAGGGGGTAGGGTTCCCTTGGAGTGGGCAGCTATGTTCTAACATTGCAAATAAACCAAAAATGACATTGGTTCCCTTGGAGTGGGCAGCTATGTTCTAACATTGCAAATAAACCAAAAATGACATTGGTAAGAGGAGGGGCCTATGGGGCCTATGGTTGTCTAATCAAGGATTTGGGTAGAGCTCTTTTTTGGTAAATGTTGTCTATATATGGCAGATGGACATGAGTTTTAGTCTATAATCTCAGGTGTCCTGTAAATCCATTTACTTTCTATTCACAGTCCTTTCTTGTAGGTTTAGGAGGAATTAGCCCTCATTCATTACTGCAGACACACACACAGCTGTACCAATGTCCCTGGACCTTCCAAGGGTCAGACTGGCTGCCACTGAGAAGCCCATTATTCCAAGGCTTGGTTCTTCCCAGCCCATTGATTCTGCTGCTCTGAAACCATGGTTGGGTCATGAGAGCCACTGTACCAAGGGCTCCAGTATCTCTGGACACCCCATATAGCCATCCTTGCCGAGGTCCTGATAACCTCAAGAAATGCAAGGACCCAGCTAATCACAGGACTGCCATCCTTTTTCTTTCCAGTCTCCAGGATGCCCTTAAGTACTTCTAGCCCACAAAGTCAGCCCTCTGGCCTATCCTCCCTTTTGGACCCAATGCATCCTCACTTCAAGGAGATCAGCTACCTCTGCCTTCTGCCCTGCAAAAAATGCCCAAGGCAAAAAAAAAAAAAAAAAAACCCACAGCCTGGCTATAGGCATGCAACTAGAATTGGGACAGAGAAAACATAGGAAGAACAAACTATCTCAACGAATTCTTCTGCTCATGCAGTACTGTGCAGCCATTTCAATTACTCCTCATTTGCAAGCCAATTAAGAAAACACCCCTAAGAGAAGCCTAAGGACTGGGAACCAAATGCAAGACTGGCAACATTTACACTCTGTGAAATGTAAACAGAAAGCAAGGAAGCTTGCTCTGAGCTCACTTTGGCTGAAAGGCAGGGAAGCTCTGTTCTTGCCAACACACACTTGAATCCGAAGTGAACTCCCCTGGCTTCTGGGCAAATCTTTCTGGTGTGTGAACCCTTTCAACCTTCTGTCATTCCAAGGCTCTCTTCCACTCACACCTCAAACCCCTGGGAAGCTTCTCAGAAACTTCAAAAGTCACTCACTCAGACGCTGCTTTGGTGGTTGGAATATAAATGCTCAAGAGTCTTGACATCTTCTATGGGGAATCTTTAAAGAAAACTTCAAAGAAACAGCTCTCCTGCTTTGAAAAGTAAGTAATAAATGAAAGTAATAAATGAAAATAATTGCTCCTTTCTCTATGTCTCTGATCTCATCCAGAGGGATGGGTTTATTAAACAGGCCTGAGAGATTGCCAGGGAATACAGCCACAGGCCTTGGTGAGAGCTTGTGTGGTCACCGGGATCACCTAACCTCTTCCAAAAGGCTTACGTAACAATATGTGGACACCGTCACTTGGAAACCAGGCTTGATTTTTGGGTGGGGGTAGGTAGATTATCATTATCCTTTTACAAGTACCAAATCAGGTTTTATAATGAAGGGGAAAAAAGCATTTATTTTTTTTGCTTTTGTCTTTTGCGGTACGCGGGCTTCTCACTGTTGTGGCCTCTCCCGCTGCGGAGCACAGGCTCTGGATGCGCAGGCTCAGCGGTCATGGCTCACGGGCCCAGCCGCTCCGCGGCATGTGGGATCCTCCTGGACCAGGCCACGAACCCGTGTCCCCGGCATCGGCAGGCGGACTCTCAACCACTGCGCCACCAGGGAAACCCGGAAAAAAGCATTTTTTATTAAATTAAAGTCTGAAGCACTGTTATACTTCTGGCATAGCACCTTCCCTCTTTTACAGACAATCTTTCTCGTGCATACAATACAGGATAATGATGGAGTTAAAAGGAAAAGCGTAGAAGTTAGCTAGTGCCCACCCTTCCATTTAAAGATAAAGAAATACCATGGAAGGGTTTTAATTTTGTCCTATACCCACGCATCGAAAAAAAATGAAGCAAATGTTCTGAGTCTGCCCTTCAGCTTCATTATCAGTAAAATGGAAGAAGAGTTACCTACCTGTATGGTCAGGCCGCCCCAGATGGTTCTTCTCTTGCTCTTTGTACATTCTCTGCTCAACTCAACCAGTCCCTGCTTCACCTACACCCTTCTCACAGGAATGTGCTCGCCTCCTGACCCTTAGGCCAGAAGGGCTCCACCTGCTAGTTTATTAAAGTGAAACAAAAGCCCTCGTGATAGTCTTAACCTGAGGGGCTGTGAGGGACTTGCCTCGGCCCGCTGGTTTCCTTGGTAACTGATAAGCCAACCTGTCATCAATTCCCCCTATAAATGGGGGAATTCCTCCTTCTCCCCCAGGTAGCAGAGTGCTGCCATGTCCTGCCTGCCATCTATGGTGGGGTGTCCCTCCAGGACCTTTTGCTTCAGATGTGTAAGATCCCCTATCCAGTAAACAACTGATGTCTCTGTCGCTGTCTCTGGGCTCTTTCTTTGGTCTTGAGGCCGGGCATCCACAAGGCTTGCAGGCCTGCAGGGTGCAGCCCAACACTGCCTCATAGAGCTTTTGAGAGGATTAAATGCAATTATACCTGGAAAAAACAGAGCCCAGTTACTGGCACACAGTAAGTGCTAAGTAAATATTAGCTACCAAGGAGATAACTGTAGCTCTGACCCAGTACAGTGGCTCTAAATCCCAAATGAATATCAGAATTATGAGATTTTTTTTTTTTGAAAAATACTCAAGCCCAGGCCCAGCTGCAGACATTCTAAGTCAATTGGTCTGGGGTGGGGCCCAGTTCAGGCAAAGGTGAAGATGATTAACCAGGTGATCGGATGTGCAGCCAAGGCTGAAACCCACTGGGGTAGGAGGTTCAAGGATATGGCCAGAGACTGTGAATCCTTATCAGTGGCTAAATACCAGGCAGATGGTAAACACAGACGAAGAGGGAGAGAAGAAAACTCAAAATACTATGGTAAGGTTTTAAAAGAAGCTTGGAAAATGATCTCTATTGTCAAGAGCATGTGTGTGATTGCTACAAATGATAAATAGAAATGACCAACCTAACTGAGATGAAGCAAGTCTCTTAAAAACAAAGAGTTCTCACCTGTCCGAATGGCTAGGGAGACCTACTGCCACGGCTGAAAGACAGGGAAACACACCCAGATTAACAAGGGGGCAGTCATTTAATGCAGAAATCCAGTTAACGTAAAGAGACAGGTCGAACGACAGATATGACTTCTCACAATACTGCATAGCATTACAGGTTAGCTCTTCCAGGGTTGATCTGTTTCTCTTATGATTTTGATTCCAGTACAGAGATGGAGAAGAGACTTCAATTAAAAATAAATAAGGCAACAGAAGAATCTCCCTGTGACAAAAAGCATCCACAAATAATGCACAAATGTTTGGTGCTGACACAACAAGACACCATAAGGACAAGTTCTGAAGGTGCTGCATTAAATTTAACAAGCATGGTACAATGACAAGAAAATTATACTCGCTTTGTCATGAATCCTTTTGCAAATAGAAATGACTCTCGGGTAATTGTTATGTACAAACTCTCTGAAATAAATGGCAATCATACAAATTTTTCCATTGCGGTTTCCTCTTTTTCTGAACCCAGAAATGTTCCATGGCTCTGCTCCCTACTCCTCGCCGTCAAAGCATGAATAGTCATTAAAGCAGTTGAATCCACAGTAGTCTTGTCCTTAGAAAGGTATGGAGGTTCTGCATGATTTGACATCAGTCATCCAGAAGGGGCTGGCAGGCAACAGGCTGGAATGTACAAGACCGATTTTGTGCTTGGGATCCTGACTCAGACTCTGCTCCGTCCCCTTCAAGGTTCGTCCGCACTGTGGACGGGCCACCAAGCAGTGGACTTGAGTGTGGACAGTCATACCGTGGAGTCTCTGCCAGACTTTAGATGTGCAATCTTGGTCCGGCTAATAAATGGGTAAGCGATGCAGAGACCTCCAGCTGCCACAATAAAGCCTAAACTGCACCAGGCACAAAAGATAGACCAGCTGTAGCCGTGTTCCACATCATCAGGCAGGCTATAAATTAGCTTCGGGACCCGGTTCAAATCATAGGAGATGCTGGCGGCGTAAGTGCAGAGGGAAATGGTGCAAAATATTCCTATAAATAATACAAAGAGAGCAGGGTGATGGGTTACGGTTTTGCCTGCTACAAGGCAAATGCCAGACAGGCCTTCGTGAACATCAGATCAACAGATGAGATGATGAATCCAAATGAATAAAGGATTGACAATTCTTTCACTTGAGTTACTTCATTCAACAAACATTGGCAAAACCTTTATGTGCCAGACTGTATGCTAGGTTCTGGAGATATAGGAGTGAAAAAGATGGGAAAATTCTGATAACTTGAATTATTCAGAATTATCTCAATTAAATTGGTACGTATACATGAATTTTTTTTTATACTTAAAAACAACGTAGTAGAAATTTTAATTATTTTTAAGGAAAAAAATAATCACTCAAACCTAATACAAACAATTTTCATTTCCCTTTGTTCTACACCTGAGTTGACACAGTTTTAGGTAGTTGCAATCATCATACCAAGTCTTTCTTTTTCAATTTCCATTATCATTAGTATTTATCATGTTGCCTGATAATATCTTAAATGAATTTTTACAAGTTTTTTTTAAGGCACAGAGCCTGGCACATTCTAGGGCCTCAAAAATCACTTTTTTTTATAATGAATGGATAAAAAGATTTTAAATAATATAAATTAAATCCAGGATGTTGGAATTGTCGTAAAATAGCTGACATCATATATCAGCTATCGGATTGCTCCTTTGTCTTATTTGTATCCCTTATTTGTATTTATTTTATCTTGAAATATTATATACATCTCTGTGCCACTTAAGTTCTTTTAGGATTAGGGCATCACCAAACCTTGATGAAAACCTGCTTTATTTCCTTCTGCCTTTACTCACTCAGCTGAGATGGAGGGGTGGAGGAGGTTACGTGAGCCCATAAATATGCCTGATATCTGCCCCTCCCCTTCCCACAAATGTCCCCAGAGACTGCTCTCCAAGGATATTTTTTCTCCCTCCAAGATGCTCCTGAAGTAGTTCTGAGAGAAAAGCAAAGATGAACCAAAGAGCATATCTAAGAATTTCCCCTTTCTGGACCCTCACATATCTAAGGAAGTTTGCAAATACATAGCTGCCATAGCTGTTATCTGTGGGGTGGGCAGGACTGTTTGATTATTACAGAGAAATGTAGGGAGAGGAGACAAAGCAGTGTTTCCAATGTAGGCAACTAGCTTTTGTAAAAGAGGCCTAACCCATTCAAGATATCTTAATAAGGGGAAAGAAAAACCCTTCTAACTTTGAAGACACTAAGGAAAAGTGTATAAAGGATGAAGACATCTTTGTTGTAGCTAGATTAGTAGTCATAGGTCGGTTTTGATCCTGCGGAATTCTATTTTAGTTCCATATGCATGTCTTACAGTCCTCATGTGTTATTAGTTTGCTCGGGCTGCCTTAACAAAGTAGCAGCAGACTGGATGGCTGAAACAACAGAAATTTACTTTATCACAATTCTGGAGGCTAAAACTCTGAGATCAAGGTCCCAGCAGGGCTGGTCTCTTCCAAGGCCTCCCTCTTTAGCTTAAAGATGCTGGTCTTCTCCCTGTGCCTTCAGTCTTCCCTCTGTAACTATCTGTGCCCAAGTTTCCTCTTCTTTATGAGGGCACCAATCGTACTGGATTATGGCCCCACCCTAATGACCTTATTTAGTTAGTGTAATCACCTCTTTAAAGACCCTCTCTCCAAATACAGTCACATTCTGAGGTTCTCGGGGCTAGAACTTCAACATATGAATGGCAGGGCTGCAGGGCGGGCACACAATTCAGCTGATAACAACATGCACACGCCCCGTGTGTGTGTGTGTGTGTGTGTGTGTGTGTGTGTGTGAGAGAGAGAGAGAGAGTTTGTGTGTATGGTCAATGTATGAAGTCTATTTCCATCCCTTTTACAGGCCTAAGCAAGATTTTACTATTTTAGGTGTTATTTAATCAGTTATTCAAGAATTATTTATAAGCATCTACTATGTTCCAGACCCAGTTCTGATTATGTTAGAGGTAGTTAAGTTGAATGAGTTCTTGATGGTCACAGCCATCATTGCTTTGATGCTGATGTGATCAGGAACCCCAAGTGTTCTTTCCACTCACTTTCCAGCATGCATGTCAGGGAAAAGGAGTAGAGACCCCTGGACTTCCTGTAAGTTCCACATGGACCCTAATAGCACTGAGGACACGGAGTGTGCAAAACCTGCTTAAGAAAACTGAGTTCTGCAATACGGTGAGTTCTACACACCTAAGAATCAGTTCATCCTAAATCACGTCCTGTAGGATTTACCTAGATGGCAAGTTATTTCCAATAATGTTGCTTTCTTGTCAGTAGCAATCTAGTTAATGCAAGATATGGGATGAGGGCATGGAAAGATAAGGTACCAGCCTTGCATTTCAAAAGTTCAAAATCTAATGGTCATTCCTGAAAAGCCACGAGGAGAGAGGTCACCTCTCCTCCCTTCTTCTCTTAGACATTTCCTTCCCTTTCCCTTCTCCCCTGACCAGCCAGGAGTTCCCTTGGGCTACCACCACTGATACTCTTCAGCCCAGCTGGTGGCGCCAGGGGAGAGGGGTTTATAAGTCCCAAGCTCAGTCCTGGCTACTGCTGGTAGCATCTTCAAAAGGGTGAGTAACTACTTGTTCTGAAGAGCGCTGTATGCAGCGACTTTTCTTATAAAATATTAAAAGGTGTTCCGCCAAAGTTCTTCATTAGAAGATACAGTGATATCACAGAATTACAAGACCGGAAAGGATATTTTTGGATCAGAAGAGAAATAAATTTATGCTGCCATCCCAGATCATCAACCTAATTTCCTTCCCTAAACTTCATGGTGCCTATGGCCAGCTGGCAGGGTGTAGTTAGGGTAACGGCCCACTCTTTTGACCATCCTCCTTTGATGTGCTTGAAAGGCGGAAAGGAGTGGAAGTTGCTTCACCCTGGTTAGCCTGCTTGATAAACATAGCTGCAACACCCACAGACATAAACATTGATTTTTTTTTTTTTTCACTCCTTCAAAAGACGGCCTGCCCATCATTCTGGCCTCTTTGCAATTCCAGAAAAAAAAACCGCCTCAAGCTAATTTTCACACAGATTGCTCAAAAAGCCATTGCTAAGTTGCCTTAACTAAATGACTGGGCAGGACTAATAGAGACAGACAACACTTTTTAAAAAAATCAGATACAAGACCCACAATCTGCAATTAACTAAATCCGAAAAACATCTGATCTTTTTCCCAAAGATTGCAGCAATCTCACTGACCGGCAAATCTGGCCTGACGTGACATAGGCTATTTAGAGTCCTTATTGATCCCACCTAGTGTGAATATTCATGTGTTTGGTTGCAGAAATGTTAATGTATACTTGATTTCAGACCCTGCTCAGGGTGTTAGATAATATAGAATACATGCACTATATTACCTTTCTAAAATAAAACTTAAAAATCCTGAATTCCAGGGACTTCCCTGGTGGTGCCGTGGTCAAGAGTCCACCTGCCAGTGCAGGGGACTGGGGTTCCAGCCCTGGTCCGGGAAGACCCACGGAACAACTAGGCCTGTGCGCCACAACTACTGAGCCTGCGCTCTACAGCCCGTGAGCCACAACTACTGAGCCCATGCGCCTAGGGAACGTGCTCTGCAACAAGAGAAGCCACCGCAATGAGAAGCCCGCACACCACAACAGAGAGTAGCCCCCGCTCGCCACAACTAGAGAAAGCCCGCGCTCAACAACAAAGACCCAAGGCAGCCAAAAATAAATAAACTAAATAAATTTTTTAAAAAAATCCTGAATTCCAAAATTCACCTGGTCCCAAGGGCTTCAGATATGGCATTAAGGACCTGTAGTTTTAGGTCATAATCAGTGGCTACCCTAGAGAATTCAATACACCTACAGAGGAGTCTTTGTTTTAATTTGAATGTATTGAAGCAAAACAATGGGTGGCCTAGCGTGGGTGTTACCTTCCCTGAGCTTTGCTGGGGCAGCCTGGGCTGTCTCTTCTTTCCCTACTGACCCGAAGGCCCTGCCTCGTCCGTCGGCAGTGGCCACTCAGGGCACAGCCTATGAAGGGGAATGGAGGCCCCCATCAAGGGAGGACCAAGCTTTATCCAATTTTTGAGACTCCCAGTATATTAAAAGGTAATTAAAACCCTACTACAGAGACATAAAAATTGTATTTAAAAATATTTGCATTGAATAAATTAACCTTTTAAAATATTTATATTCCTAACAAATGATAATCATCATACTAGCGCAACAGCAATCTAATAGAATGCATCATTTAAAGCTGATGGAGATGCTCACTCGCAGTGCAGGAGGCAGTGTGGTCTGGTAAAGGGCAGCCCCTCACTGTTGGATCATGTCTTATTCCCTTATCTCTGGATATGCCTCCGTGACGGTGTGTGTGTAACTTCAGAGGACATGAGGTCAAAAGGCTACATTTGAGGTTCTGTGCCCCTGGCCCTGCTGGAGGACCCCTTGAGAGGCCCCAGGGAATTAGGGCTGGGAAGTGACAGTCAGCAGCCCTGCTGCTCCACGTGTGGGTAATCAAGAGCTGTCAGTATGCAATAAGGCCTAAGGAGAGAGATTTGTTTCCAAGTTTCCATTTTAACATCTCAAACTGTCACATCACTGATGATCTTCATTGAAGGTTTGGCTAATAAATTCAGGTAGAGAATGAAGATGCCAGCGCCTTAGAAGAGGCTAAGTTTAGCATCAAAAATCTGTGGTGTGATGCCGACTAAGACTGCTGCATTAAAATCAATTCTTTTAACCCTATTTGCTCTCATCTCCTGCTGCTACCTGGGAAGGTCCTACAGCTAATTTATCTCATGCAATGGATTAACATAGTTATCTTGGTGTTTACAAAGGAAATGGAAAGGGATTATTTGTAGTAGCGGAAATGGAAAGGGATTATTTGTAGTAGCAAAAATGAAACAAACCTCCCTAAATCCCACAGTAAGGGAACATAACGCGGCAAATCTACTCCATGGAAGAACATGCAGCTATTAAAAGCTATTACAAACCGAACACAGAACAATATAAGGCCACCGGGAATGCTTACGGTATGATGATAAATGGAAGCCCAGAAAACAAAATATTCAATACTTTCCATGTGATGATGGGGGCAAACATTTTTTCTTTCCTTTTTTTCTGTTGTTGTTTTTTTCTTTTAAATTTTTATTTTGAAAAAATTATAGACTCACATGCAGTTGAAAGAGATAACACAGTGAGATCCTGTATACCCTTCACCCAATTTCCCCAAATAGTAACGTCTTGCACAACTCTAGTATAATAGCACAACCAGGAAACTTACGATGATACAATCCATCCACCTTATTCCGATCGCACCACTTTTACATGCACTCAGTCACTTGTGTGTGTGTGTGCACTTAGTTCCATCGAATGTCACCACGTGTGCAGATTATGTGGCCACCATCACAGACCAGACACAGACCATTTCCATCGCAAGGATGCCCTGAGCTACCCTTTTAGAACCACAGCCACTTCTCTCCCTTTTGTTATTGTCTTTAGTGAGACAAAGACTTGGGCAAGATTTGGTCCAGGATAAGGAAAATATTTTAACAACTAATTTTTCAGATGGTGAGATCTATAAGTGGGTTTTCCCTTTATTCCAAAAAAAAGCAAAAAAGAAAGCCAGTGTTATGTGGTAGGTCTGTCCACCCTTCCGGCCTGGTCATCAAACTTCAAGTTTATAAGTTTAGGGTGTTTTGGGGTTGCAATGGGTTTTTGCCACTATGGCTATTGTTCTGCTTGTTTTGTTTTTAACAGCTGCACAGGGGCTTTTGATGATAAATCCTGCTGAGCCCTGAGCCAGTCTGGCCCAGAGTTACACAGATGGCTCAGGAATGAGGGCTGAGCAGGGGAAGGTGGGGCTGGCTTCAGAAACTCAGCTCCTAGCTCTCCTCTGAGCCAATGCAAGACTGAACTCCCATCCTCCTTTCATTTAAAACCAAACCAGCCCCTCTGCCTCCCAAGAAACGCTCACTGAGCCTGACTTTTATGGTCCTGTGATTTATTTTCATGCCAACAATTGTTTGATATCTAAGAGCATCCTAAATTATTCATGCATTACCCACATTACAAGGGTCCTTTAAAAACTACTACTACTGAGGCTTTTGTCTGGCCCTCAGCTCCTTTCATTTTCCTGAGGATGCTATGTGGGGCCTTTCCAGGGCTGGGGGGTCGTGAATACTTCTTTGATGTATATGAGGACAAGAGTTAGAAAAATGGGGGCCCAACTAATAAAGGAAGGGAAGAAAATGGGGGGAGATATTTCATGACCATTAAGCTTAAAGAAATCCCCTGGGCAGCACCGGCCTCTCTGATTCTTTGACACCCTCACCTGTTCATTCTACACCCTGGATTTTTTTTTTTTTAATATTTATTCATTTATTTATTTGGCTGTGCCAGGTCTTTGCTGCTGCACGCAGGCTCTTAGTTGTGGCATGCGGGATCTAGTTCCCTGACCAGAGATCGAACCTGGACCCCCTGCATTGGGAGCGTGGAGTCTTAACCACTGGACCACCAGGGAAGTCCCTACACTTTGGATTTTAATGAATCCTTTAGGCAGGCACCCTCCCAATGGCTGGTCTTGAAGGTTCAAATCCTCCTCCAAAACCTCAGAAACTAGAATTTTAGCCTCCCTGGGCTACAGTCCTGCAGCCTCTGTGTATTCACCCAAGTCTGGAAAACTTAAGTTGTTTTTCTGCTAAGAATTATTCAAAGGCCAGGTGACTTTTTTTTTTTTAATGCTCTGTCGGGATGCTTACAATGATCATCCATTATTCCAGGTCACTGCTGGTTACAGCTCCATCTCATGGGGTCGGAAAGGGGCCGACAGGACTTAGAAAGAAGGAAGGACGTCTGTCTGTGAATTGGGTTACAGGAGCTGACTGGCTGACCAACCAGAAGGCAAAGCACCACCTACCTGTCAGCCCTGAAAGACAGAAAAAATGGTGCCAGTCACCAAGCGGTGCTGCCGCCTCCAGGGAACACGGGCTTGAGTGAGTGACCATGACAGCAAGCAGTGCTAGAAACCCCAGTCGTGGTCGCTTGAGTAACAGAACTCCAGAGAAGCAGGAATAAGCTTATTCAAAACGGCTACACATCTAGCGTACTATTACCCCTGATGCTCAGCGTACTTTGTGAAACTGTTAACTTGGCATTCACTAATCACAGACACAATTTTCTGGGAAAAAGCAGGAGGAAAGATTTCTTCGCCGCAGCCACCTTCAGTCAATTTCAGCCATCAACTCAGCTGCTGACTCCTTCTTAGACAAAAATGTTCTTCACCCGACAATTGAAAAGACCATAGTCGTGTCTCCACACACCCCCTTCCAATCTCCTGATTTAACAGCAAGTCACTCCTTGGCATAAAACCTTCTGGTGGCTTCCACCACCCTTAGATTAAAATCCAAGCCCCCGCCTGCTTCTCCACCTCATGGGATGCTGTCCTCTCCTTCCCTGCCCTCGGCCACACTGGTCTCTCTGTGGCTCGAAACACATACGTTAAGCCATCCCTGCCTTAGGCCTTGGCACCGTTCCTTCCTCTGCCCGCAGCGCACTCCCTATGTGGAAGAGGGTCCCCTACACCACCTCCTTTACCTTCCTCAGAGCTTTTATCGCTATCACAACTTATTATTTGTGTCTCCCCAAAACAGAAAGGGAGAAGGATTTTGTCTGCCTTAATCATTATGTGTCTTTAGTATGTAGAGAAGTGCCTGGTCCATAGTAAGTCCTCACAAAGTATCTGTGGAGTGAAATGAATGAATGTCTTGTGTGTAAAAATGACACCAATGACTCCATCACTAAGAAACAGACTTTGAGTTGACCTTCAGCCCAGAGGCGTGGGCTGTGCTGAGCTATCACCCTCTCCTGGAGGGCTCCTGATAAGCAATTGCCCATGTTTGCCAAGAGTCCATGCCAGGGTTAGGGGCACAATAGGAAAGAATGGGACAGAAAAATCAGACCCGCCTCATATGGAGATTAAACCCAAGACATTTCCATCTAACCTTGTAACGGGCCACAATGGGGAAATCAGGGCTGCGTTTTTAACACTTTCTTTTTTAACACTTCTTTCTTTTTTAACAATTTCTTTAAATTCTGTATTGCCCACCAAAGCCAAATGACCTTCTGGTTGCTTTTCTCACAAGTGAAAACAAAATTAATGGAGAGATAACAAAGTGAAGCTAGCTGCCTGCAGAGAGGCCTTTGCTTTCGCTGGGAGAGGTGTCAGAGGTGTTCCGCGTACCTGTCATGAGGAAAAGGAGTCCGGCCACATGCTGGGTCAGGCTTTCCTCCCAGAAGAAGCTGACCATGGCCACAATGCAGCCACAGAGCAGGACGGCCACAGCCATGCCCAGGAAGCCAGCAGTGATTCTTCTTAAATCTAATCTCAAAACACAAACATTCAAGATAATAAGCAGAAGAAGGAGAGTTATTGAAAATTCGAGAATGAAGAGCTTTGTATACATTGTGAAAACTAAAATACGTTACATGGACAGGTGTAGGGTCTTCAGGGCCACGGTGATTTAGGAAATAAACTTCCTAGGTATTTCATAAGAGGACAGATGGGGTGTAACAAGTTGAGGGGTCAGCATCTACCCTCCCTGAGTCCATGGAGAAGTCCGTATCAAGTAGAAAATAGACCAGCGGACACCAGGGTAAACAAGGGTAAGAGGTAAAAAGTTACTTAGTAAACTGACAGTGAGGAAGGTTTGCAAAAGATCTTTATTATCCTCCAAAGAGCAACAGAATCATAGGTCACCACCACTGTAGTGGCTGTAATTAATCTGACTTTGGGGAAAGAGCCTAAAAACTGAGATATAGTGAAATATGGTTTGACCTGTGCACCAAGGATGCCAATTACTTTATTTTTAAGTTATACTTCCTCCTGCCTATTTTCAAAAAGGATTTGAGAAAGTGAAGGCAACCGTAACTGAAATAGGGCCCAACATGCACATATAGGACATCTACTCATTAAGGCCCTCTTCCCTTAAACATAGGCCCTACAACCCAAGCTCCCAAGTACCCAGGTTAAGAAAAGGCTGTTCCCGTGGGCCAAGCCCCACTGAACACACAAGAAGTTTGGTCTATCACAAAAACACGACTGTGATCACTGGGCCAGGAACCCAGGCCCTGGCCCACCTTCTAGGCCAAAGCAAGAGATGGACTGGCTGGACGTATGGGTACACTTCCACTCCAGTTGCCCACCCTCCTGCTTTTTTGCTTTTTCTTTCTATTTCCCTCCCTCTTTTTTTTTTTTTTTTTGAATGAAGCTAATTTTAAAAATCGTGAGCTAGATTTCTCTGATCCTTCTTGGAGCAACAGATCCCAAACATAAGTCTGCCGCTGAAGCCAGTGAACAGGTCTAGGCAAGGTGGACCGTGCACTCCTGCACACACATGGAACCAAGACCAGAGGCACACCCCGCTGTGTGAGCGTGGGCTGCTCTGCGAAGGCGCCCAGGCAGCCACCACCTCACTGTGTGTTCCTGTGGCCTCTGGCAACACGGGATGATGTATACAGGGTGGATCACGGTAGCTTTCAGCCTTGCCCTTGTCACACGTGGTCCATCCCTTTCTTTTCAAGGGATTTTTCATTTCTAGCTCAGAGCATCTAAACTGAAGCAGGGCGTTGCAGCCTAGAAGGGGCAGTGTAGACCACCACAGAGCTAGGGGTCACGGGCACTGATCATTTAAAGGGGCTGTTTAATATTAAGGTGTAAGTCGTTCTGAGACATCCAGTGTAATCATAGCTCAGTCACCATTCTCTCACAACCTCCTAAACTCCCTGTGGTTCGAGTTTTATTTTCTATGGCCATTAAAAGGCACAAGGTTCAGATATAATCCACATGGGATTTGCCTTAGTACGGGATATGCTAAGCTTATCTGGTAAACATGGTACAGATCACCAAGTGTGACTTTCTTGGAAAAAGCCATGCCTGAGACTGCCGAAAGCATCTTTCCATGAGAACCTCAGAGAGGATTAAGAGGAGAATGCTCAGTACTGTCTTGCTGGGCAGTAACAGGGTACAAACTCTTAAAGAGATAAGGTTCTTTTTCAGGACCCTGTGATGATCTTTTCTTGCCAAAAACCAGTGACTGTGTGGCTTTCTGCATAGATGATTAAGGCAAAGAACTCCAAACATGCTCATAAAGAATGAAGATGTAAGAAGACTTAGATAAGGCTCTAACTAAGATCTGCTGAGAAATGACCATTAAGATCAGCCAGCAAGAGATAATTTTCAGGAAGTGATACTACTCAGAAATAAACCACATTTTAGCCAATGACTTTCCAAGTCCTAAATTTGCAGATCATAATATTTATAACATTACACCACTGCTGTGGGCAATATCTTAAGAGCTTCCATTTACATCTTTGAGATTCAAAATAGAGCCCTTTGATCTGTAGAGAGACTTGACTTTACAAAATGAAACTCTACTTGGCTTCCTGTAGTGACTTGGGTCACCAAACAAGATCACTGAAGTCCTTGCGTTGATTGCATTGGAAATGACAATGTCAACCTCTGATTAGGGTAAACACTAAAAAGAATTAGGCCTAGTTTTTTGCTTTCCTGAATTATCTATCCCTAGGCAACATGAATCGACAGTTTTCAGGTAAATATCAGTCCTCTTTGGTGTCACACTGCACAATCCTTTCTACAGTCTCACATTTTCCTGACAGTAAAAAAGATAGTTCCTGCCATCGGGATGTGGAGATAACAGACCCCTTCTGAGAAAATTACAACATACACTCATAAAGATATTTTAGCAGAAATACCAAGGTCTGAGATAGACACAGTAACTAAAATGAATATTGGATAAAGAAAACTAAAATAACACACCTAAGGTATAGTCTCCATGGTTTACTAAGACAAGCACCAGATCAGGGCCTTGTACCACATGGCTTGGTAAAGAATGCACTCAGGAGGTGGACTGTATACCGACGCCACAAGGACAGACACGCTCGCGGCACTGTCTCACAAAGCCCCACGCCTGACTCTCACACATCTGATCTGCAAACAAGTTGTGACCATGGCACAGTGAAATGACTCTCTGAGTCTCTGACCAAGTCGGATGGGGCCCAGAGGCCCACGTAGGATCAGCAGAGCATCTTTCGGTCCATATCTGAAAGGGCTGGTGGGAAGGCTTTTTGTTCAGAAAGACACCATTTCCTCTCTGACCCTCTCTGACCCTTTCCCAGAAATACTCACGAAGCAGGTGCCATTCATCTTGCTGGATTGTCTTGGTCAAGTTGAAAGGAATGTTTCGTAAGCGTATCGGCTGAGAAAAGTGGTACTTGATAGCTGTACATCGCTGTGCAATACCTTGAAGGAAATAAGAAATGTGATTTACTAGTCCACGCATTTGTAATAGAATTCTGGAAACTGAAGGCAGGACAATGCATCCTAAACTGGGTTGAAGGGGCAGGGGATAGGAATCTCTTGATTACTCTCATTAATAGAGACAAGTCAGAGCAGTAAAGACCCAAAACGTGAAATAATTTTTTAAATCATGTTTCATTTTTGAATGTATTAAATTTGATAAGAATCTAAACTCCCCTAATTATTTTTTCAATGTTGAATTTGTATGAACCAAACACAAAACTCCTCAAGGAGAAATGGCCTAAAAGTATACAGATGATTGGGAGAAATCAGCTTGGAATTTGAACACAGATAAATTTCACGCATCCAAATTTGATCCAACCTCAAACTCTCAAATGGGCTGAATCAAAAAGTATATCAGGAAGTGTGTTATTTGGAAACCAGAAGACATTTTTCAATAAAGAGCCTTCTATGTAGCGGTTTAAATAGTGATTAGGTCTCCAGACAGCCCACGAGAGCCTAAGTAGCCCTACAGCAGCTGACATAATTCCTTAATACACATTTTACTGATCTGAATTCTAGGTTCTAAGACAACGGGTAATATTAAAAGGAGAAAGGAGAAAGAAATGTTTTCCTCCCTTTCCTGGTTGTATGCACAATATTTTGAAATGGGCAAGTATCCACTGCTTTATCTAGTATCTTTTCCTACCTTCCCTCTCAATCCATGCTTTTATTGCATAAATTAACACAGGCCTATTTTTCCCCTAAAGTCTTCTGAATCCCACGAAAGTATCTATCTTCCTGTCAAATTAAAATGAAACAAAACTTCCTTCTTTCCTTGTAAATCACCTTGACCAGCTGTTTGGATAAATGCACTCTGATTAGATTAATTTTAAAAGAGCTGTGAGTAAATGTTAATCTTTTCACTCCGGTAGCTGTTAAAAAATATTCTCATAGATGCAAATAAATCTCTAATTGGTGGAATTTGAGTAAATGTAATTAAAAAAGTGAAATTTTTAAAAACTCAGGCATTGAAAGGGGGGATTGGTATTTGAGCACAGTTAACATCATGAGCCACTTAGTCCCTGATGGGAAGGCACCTACAGGATCACCTCCCTTGTCTCTCAATCCTCAGTATGCATAAGAATCACCTGGGGAGCTAGTTTAAAATGTAGACTCCTGGACCCAACCCAAGATATTCTGACTCAAAAGATATGGGATGGAGCCAGGAACCTGACTTTTAACAAAACATCCCAAGTAATGCGGATGCAGGCAGCTAAGAAACTACCCAGGACTATCTCTGCTTTTTCAGAATTTTTTTTTTTTCCTTATGAAACCACAGATTCTCTAAAAGCTCACAGCTCTTTCTATTTTTCTCTTTGTTTTTTCAACATAGGCCCCTGGCGGTGGTTGTGAGGTCTAAGGCATATAAGTTCGGTGTTTACATATAAGTGACGTGTTTATAAGTCAGAAAATGCCTGTGCTTACAAAGAGCAAATGACCTGGTCTGAGAACAATAAAAGATAACAGACTGCAATAATAGCTCTCATTTGTGTTTTTCAAAACTGTCATTCCACTTGATACTCATCCTCGGGCTAACCTTGAGGCTCTGTGTAAGCAGGAAGTGAAGGTTAAAGTAGAGTTGAACACATGCCCCAACACACACACAGAGCCCATTGGCAAAGACTGGGGGACTTATTGGTTCCAGGCAGTTAAGAACACTTCTGTCCAATCATTAGCATCCCACTAAGCTAGCCAAGCAGAGGCTTCAGGGCTCACATATGACAAAGGATACAGACTTTACAGAATTGGTTCAGTAGAGTCACTAAAGGAACAAACAACAACACAAAAACAATAACAAAACCTGAGGAGGAGGGAGAATCTAAATTCCAGAGTTGCTATATTATTTTAAATGTCCAGTTTCAATTAAAAAGTATAAAACATACACAGAAAAAGGCTCCTACATAGAAGAAAAATGTCAGTCCATAGAAACTGTCACTGAAGAAGCCCAGACATTGGATTTACCTAACCAAGACTTTCCGCGCGGCATGTGGAATCTTAGTTCCCCGACCAGGGATCGAACCTGCACCCCCTGCAGTGGAAGCACGGAGTCTCAACTACGGACCACCAGGGAAGTCCCTACCCAAGACTTTACATCAACTGTTTTAAATATGTTCAAAGAACTAAAGGAAACCATGTCCAAGGAACTAAAGACAAGTGTGAGAATGATGTCTCACCAAATAGAGAATATCAGTAAAGTGATGGAAAGTATGAAAAGAGACAGAAAAAAAAACAAATAGAAATTCTGAAGTTGAAAAGTATAAAAATGGAAATTTAAAAATTTACTAGAGGGGCTCAACAAAATTTTGAGCAGTCCGAAAAAAGAATCAGCAAATTTGAAGATAGATCAATTGAGATTATCCAGTCTGAGGAGTATAATGGGAGACCCAAAAAGGAGGAGAGGGAAAAGGGGACCAAAAGAATATTTGAAGAAACAGTTGTCAAAAACTTCCTAAATTTGATGAAAAACATGAATCTACACATCTAAGAAGTTTGATGAAGTACAAATAGGATAAACTCAAAGGGATCCATACCCAGACTGTTGAAAGCCAAAGATAGAGAATCTTGAAAACGGCAAGAAAAAACGTAATGTATCGTGTGTAAGAGCTCCTCAGAAGATTAGAAACTGATTTCTCATCAGAAAACATGGAGGTCAAAGGGAGTGGAATGACATATTCAAAGCACTGAAAGAAAGATTATCAACCAAGAATTCTATATTCGGCAAAGCTATCCTTCAGAAATGAAGGGAAAATGACATTTCCAGTTAAACAAAAACTGAGAGAATGTGTCACTAGCAGACCTACCCTACAAGAAATACTAAAGGGAGTCCTTCAGGCTGAATGAAAGGACAGTAACTGAATCCACATGAAGAAACAAAGAACATTTGTAATGTTACAACACAGGTAAACATAAATGGACTAAAATATAAATAGACCAAACACTCCAACCAAAAGCAGAGATTGGCATTCTAGACAAAACAACATGATCCAACTATGTGATGTCCACTAGAGACACACTTTAGATTCAAAGACACAAGTAGGTTGGAAGCAAAAGGATGGAAAACGATATATCATGAAAACAGTCACCAAAAGAGAGACGGAATAGCTATACTAACATCAGGCAAAATAGACTTTAAGACCAAAAGTGTTATTAGAGACAAAGAAAGACGTTTTATAGTGATAAAAAGGTCAATCCACTAAGAAGATATAACAACTATAAACATATTTTATCCGCTTACCAACAAAGCCCCAAAATACTTGAAAAAACTGACAGAATTAAAGGAAGAAATAGACAATTCAATAATAATAGTTGGGCACTTCAGTATTCCACTTTCAATAATGGTGGAACAACTAGATAGAAGGTCAACAAGGAAACAGAAGATTTGAACAACACTATAAACCAACTAGACAAAACACACATCTATAGACCACTTCACCAAACAGCAGAATATACATAATTTTCAAGTGCAAACAGAACACTTCCCAGCATACCCCATATTTTAGGCAATAAAACAAATCTCAATAAATTTAAAAGAAAGTCATACAAAGTATGTTCTCTGACCACAATACAATGAAATTAGAAATCAATAACAGAAGGAAAATTTGGAAATTCAGAAATTTGTGGAAATTAAGTAACACACTTCTAAACAACCAATGCATCAAAAACAAATCACAAGGGAAATTTAAAAACACTTTGAGATTAATGAAAACAAAACCACAATATATGAAAATTTATAGGATGCAGCTAAAGCAGTGCTTACCGGGAAATTTATACCTGCAAATGCCTACATTAAAAGAGAAAGTCTCAAATCAATAGCCTAACTTTCCACCTGAAGAAATTAAAAAGAGAAGAACAAACTAAACCCAAAGCAGAAGGAGAGAGATTACATAATTAGAGTGGAAACAAATGAAGTAGGGACTAGAAAAATAAGGAAAATTTAAAAAAACAAAATTTGGTTCTTTGAAAACATTAATAAAATTGACAAATCTTTATCTAGACCATTTAAGATAAAGAGAGAAGACTCAAGTTACTAAAATCAAGAATGAAACAGAAGACATTACTAACCGTCTTAGAGAAATAAAAAGTGGTATAAGAGAATACTGTGAAAAAATGATATGCCAACAAATTATATAATACAGATTAAATGATAACTTCCTAGAAAGACACAAATTACCAAGACTGACTCAAGAAGAAATAGAACATTTAAACAGATCTATATCAAGTAAAGAGAATGAGTTAATAATTAACTTAGTAAAAAAATTCCCACAAAGAAAAGTCCAGGACCAGAGAGCTTCACTGGTGAATTTTACCAAATGTTTAAAGACAAACTAACAATTTTTCATAAACTCTTCAAAAAAAAAAAAAAAAAACAGAAGAGGAGGGAACAATTCCCAAATCATTGTATGAGGCCAGTATTGCCCTGATACAAAAAACAAAGGTATCACAAGAAAAGAATATTACAAAATATTTCTTATGAATATGTATTCAGAAGTCCTCAACAAGGTGCTAGCAAAGTGAATTCAGCAACATATAAAAAGGATTGTACATCACGACCAAATGGGATTTATGCCAGGAATGTAAGGTTGGTTCAACATATGAAGATGAATTAATGTAATATACCTTATCGATAGAATAAAGCACAGAAATCACCTCATAGATGCCAAAAAAAAAAAGCATTGACAAAATCCATTTGATACCCACCAAAATCCCCTATGAGCTAAATATGAAATAGGTATTATTAGCTCCATTAAGCAGGTAGAAAAATCTGAAGCTCAGAGAGGTTAAGTAACTAGCCCAAGGCCACAGTGCAAAGCAAAAACCAAGCTTTTAACATATATGGTGTTACCCAAACTTTGTATAATGCTCACTCAGGAAAGTTAGAAATCCTTACGCTTTTAGAAATGCATCTTAATTCTGTGGGTAGTGAGAACTGCAGCTTTTTTTTTTTTTCATGGAAAGGCATTTTATTTTAAACATAGCAGGGTGTACATGTCAATCCCAAACTCCCAATCTATCCCTCTCCCCCCACCCTTCCCCCCTGGTAACCATAAGTTCGAGAACCGCAGTTAGTAAATGAACTGTCAGTTTGAAGTGAAAAACAAATTTTTTCAATTTAGTACAAATATATGCTCTTTTGGAAACAAAGCGGATACCTAACTGAGCCTTCTGTTTGTATATTATCCATACCTTTCAACACACATTATTTGGAGACTGGATTGGCTCGTGGCTGACTTAGTGGCTTCATCCTTCCTGCATCTCACGGAAGCTACTTAATGCTAGAGACAGGGTTTGGATTGGGGAGAAATTCTCCTCTCGGACTCAGCGGGGCTGGCCTTCCACCAACTCCTGTGCCAGGGAAATATGTGGTCCCTTGACATCATTGCTAATACTCTCAGAGCCCATCTCCTCCTCCGCCCCTTGCTGGGAACAGGCGTGATCCCAGTGGACAGAGAGAGTAGCAGAAAGGAGGCGGGCAGCCGGCCAGCCCAGTGCTCTCCTGCTCCCCCAGGAGAGCGCCACACGTGTGCCAGGAATGAGGTAAGCAGTGCACACATCACCAAATTACCTTTCCTTCCCCAGTAGGCTCCCAAGTTAAATTTAGACTGCCAAGAACTTGAAATGAGAAGAAAAAGGAAGTGGGAAGAGTGACAAGGTCTGGACTGGAGAGTAACAAGCAGTAACCCAAAGGTCCCAAAGACTGGGAGTGTGGTAGGGAACCCAGAGCTTCTCTCTTGAGTTTGCAAGAAAATGCTCTACAGCCCTGGTGCTCTACTCCCTTGCTAGATGATTAGAGACTTCAGGCAGAATTGGAAGAGAAAGATGGAGTAAAGGACAGATCAGCAGTAGTGTCAGAGGCCTGCGATTAGCTCTTTTATTTCCTTTTTCTTAAACACTTGCTCCACTGTTAAAGCAGAAAGTGAAATAGATTCGAAGAGTAAAGTATGCTATTAAGTTTTTGCTTCCTACGGCACACATGTAAAACTGACAAAATGAAACTTGACAAAAATCACACCAGAAAAGACCTCTAGTCGCTTAATTTGCCAAAAACAAATTAAGTCCTTTTGGTAAAAAGACAAGTATATATATATAAGAGGAGGGGCCTATGGGGCCTATGGTTGTCTAATCAAGGATTTGGGTAGAGCTCTTTTTTGGTAAATGTTGTCTATATATGGCAGATGGACATGAGTTTTAGTCTATAATCTCAGGTGTCCTGTAAATCCATTTACTTTCTATTCACAGTCCTTTCTTGTAGGTTTAGGAGGAATTAGCCCTCATTCATTACTGCAGACACACACACAGCTGTACCAATGTCCCTGGACCTTCCAAGGGTCAGACTGGCTGCCACTGAGAAGCCCATTATTCCAAGGCTTGGTTCTTCCCAGCCCATTGATTCTGCTGCTCTGAAACCATGGTTGGGTCATGAGAGCCACTGTACCAAGGGCTCCAGTATCTCTGGACACCCCATATAGCCATCCTTGCCGAGGTCCTGATAACCTCAAGAAATGCAAGGACCCAGCTAATCACAGGACTGCCATCCTTTTTCTTTCCAGTCTCCAGGATGCCCTTAAGTACTTCTAGCCCACAAAGTCAGCCCTCTGGCCTATCCTCCCTTTTGGACCCAATGCATCCTCACTTCAAGGAGATCAGCTACCTCTGCCTCCTCCCCGCAAAAAAAGGCCAAGGGAAAAAAAAAAAAAAAAAAAACCCACAGCCTGGCTATAGGCATGCAACTAGAATTGGGACAGAGAAAACATAGGAAGAACAAACTATCTCAACGAATTCTTCTGCTCATGCAGTACTGTGCAGCCATTTCAATTACTCCTCATTTGCAAGCCAATTAAGAAAACACCCCTAAGAGAAGCCTAAGGACTGGGAACCAAATGCAAGACTGGCAACATTTACACTCTGTGAAATGTAAACAGAAAGCAAGGAAGCTTGCTCTGAGCTCACTTTGGCTGAAAGGCAGGGAAGCTCTGTTCTTGCCAACACACACTTGAATCCGAAGTGAACTCCCCTGGCTTCTGGGCAAATCTTTCTGGTGTGTGAACCCTTTCAACCTTCTGTCATTCCAAGGCTCTCTTCCACTCACACCTCAAACCCCTGGGAAGCTTCTCAGAAACTTCAAAAGTCACTCACTCAGACGCTGCTTTGGTGGTTGGAATATAAATGCTCAAGAGTCTTGACATCTTCTATGGGGAATCTTTAAAGAAAACTTCAAAGAAACAGCTCTCCTGCTTTGAAAAGTAAGTAATAAATGAAAGTAATAAATGAAAATAATTGCTCCTTTCTCTATGTCTCTGATCTCATCCAGAGGGATGGGTTTATTAAACAGGCCTGAGAGATTGCCAGGGAATACAGCCACAGGCCTTGGTGAGAGCTTGTGTGGTCACCGGGATCACCTAACCTCTTCCAAAAGGCTTACGTAACAATATGTGGACACCGTCACTTGGAAACCAGGCTTGATTTTTGGGTGGGGGTAGGTAGATTATCATTATCCTTTTACAAGTACCAAATCAGGTTTTATAATGAAGGGGAAAAAAGCATTTATTTTTTTTGCTTTTGTCTTTTGCGGTACGCGGGCTTCTCACTGTTGTGGCCTCTCCCGCTGCGGAGCACAGGCTCTGGATGCGCAGGCTCAGCGGTCATGGCTCACGGGCCCAGCCGCTCCGCGGCATGTGGGATCCTCCTGGACCAGGCCACGAACCCGTGTCCCCGGCATCGGCAGGCGGACTCTCAACCACTGCGCCACCAGGGAAACCCGGAAAAAAGCATTTTTTATTAAATTAAAGTCTGAAGCACTGTTATACTTCTGGCATAGCACCTTCCCTCTTTTACAGACAATCTTTCTCGTGCATACAATACAGGATAATGATGGAGTTAAAAGGAAAAGCGTAGAAGTTAGCTAGTGCCCACCCTTCCATTTAAAGATAAAGAAATACCATGGAAGGGTTTTAATTTTGTCCTATACCCACGCATCGAAAAAAAATGAAGCAAATGTTCTGAGTCTGCCCTTCAGCTTCATTATCAGTAAAATGGAAGAAGAGTTACCTACCTGTATGGTCAGGCCGCCCCAGATGGTTCTTCTCTTGCTCTTTGTACATTCTCTGCTCAACTCAACCAGTCCCTGCTTCACCTACACCCTTCTCACAGGAATGTGCTCGCCTCCTGACCCTTAGGCCAGAAGGGCTCCACCTGCTAGTTTATTAAAGTGAAACAAAAGCCCTCGTGATAGTCTTAACCTGAGGGGCTGTGAGGGACTTGCCTCGGCCCGCTGGTTTCCTTGGTAACTGATAAGCCAACCTGTCATCAATTCCCCCTATAAATGGGGGAATTCCTCCTTCTCCCCCAGGTAGCAGAGTGCTGCCATGTCCTGCCTGCCATCTATGGTGGGGTGTCCCTCCAGGACCTTTTGCTTCAGATGTGTAAGATCCCCTATCCAGTAAACAACTGATGTCTCTGTCGCTGTCTCTGGGCTCTTTCTTTGGTCTTGAGGCCGGGCATCCACAAGGCTTGCAGGCCTGCAGGGTGCAGCCCAACACTGCCTCATAGAGCTTTTGAGAGGATTAAATGCAATTATACCTGGAAAAAACAGAGCCCAGTTACTGGCACACAGTAAGTGCTAAGTAAATATTAGCTACCAAGGAGATAACTGTAGCTCTGACCCAGTACAGTGGCTCTAAATCCCAAATGAATATCAGAATTATGAGATTTTTTTTTTTTGAAAAATACTCAAGCCCAGGCCCAGCTGCAGACATTCTAAGTCAATTGGTCTGGGGTGGGGCCCAGTTCAGGCAAAGGTGAAGATGATTAACCAGGTGATCGGATGTGCAGCCAAGGCTGAAACCCACTGGGGTAGGAGGTTCAAGGATATGGCCAGAGACTGTGAATCCTTATCAGTGGCTAAATACCAGGCAGATGGTAAACACAGACGAAGAGGGAGAGAAGAAAACTCAAAATACTATGGTAAGGTTTTAAAAGAAGCTTGGAAAATGATCTCTATTGTCAAGAGCATGTGTGTGATTGCTACAAATGATAAATAGAAATGACCAACCTAACTGAGATGAAGCAAGTCTCTTAAAAACAAAGAGTTCTCACCTGTCCGAATGGCTAGGGAGACCTACTGCCACGGCTGAAAGACAGGGAAACACACCCAGATTAACAAGGGGGCAGTCATTTAATGCAGAAATCCAGTTAACGTAAAGAGACAGGTCGAACGACAGATATGACTTCTCACAATACTGCATAGCATTACAGGTTAGCTCTTCCAGGGTTGATCTGTTTCTCTTATGATTTTGATTCCAGTACAGAGATGGAGAAGAGACTTCAATTAAAAATAAATAAGGCAACAGAAGAATCTCCCTGTGACAAAAAGCATCCACAAATAATGCACAAATGTTTGGTGCTGACACAACAAGACACCATAAGGACAAGTTCTGAAGGTGCTGCATTAAATTTAACAAGCATGGTACAATGACAAGAAAATTATACTCGCTTTGTCATGAATCCTTTTGCAAATAGAAATGACTCTCGGGTAATTGTTATGTACAAACTCTCTGAAATAAATGGCAATCATACAAATTTTTCCATTGCGGTTTCCTCTTTTTCTGAACCCAGAAATGTTCCATGGCTCTGCTCCCTACTCCTCGCCGTCAAAGCATGAATAGTCATTAAAGCAGTTGAATCCACAGTAGTCTTGTCCTTAGAAAGGTATGGAGGTTCTGCATGATTTGACATCAGTCATCCAGAAGGGGCTGGCAGGCAACAGGCTGGAATGTACAAGACCGATTTTGTGCTTGGGATCCTGACTCAGACTCTGCTCCGTCCCCTTCAAGGTTCGTCCGCACTGTGGACGGGCCACCAAGCAGTGGACTTGAGTGTGGACAGTCATACCGTGGAGTCTCTGCCAGACTTTAGATGTGCAATCTTGGTCCGGCTAATAAATGGGTAAGCGATGCAGAGACCTCCAGCTGCCACAATAAAGCCTAAACTGCACCAGGCACAAAAGATAGACCAGCTGTAGCCGTGTTCCACATCATCAGGCAGGCTATAAATTAGCTTCGGGACCCGGTTCAAATCATAGGAGATGCTGGCGGCGTAAGTGCAGAGGGAAATGGTGCAAAATATTCCTATAAATAATACAAAGAGAGCAGGGTGATGGGTTACGGTTTTGCCTGCTACAAGGCAAATGCCAGACAGGCCTTCGTGAACATCAGATCAACAGATGAGATGATGAATCCAAATGAATAAAGGATTGACAATTCTTTCACTTGAGTTACTTCATTCAACAAACATTGGCAAAACCTTTATGTGCCAGACTGTATGCTAGGTTCTGGAGATATAGGAGTGAAAAAGATGGGAAAATTCTGATAACTTGAATTATTCAGAATTATCTCAATTAAATTGGTACGTATACATGAATTTTTTTTTATACTTAAAAACAACGTAGTAGAAATTTTAATTATTTTTAAGGAAAAAAATAATCACTCAAACCTAATACAAACAATTTTCATTTCCCTTTGTTCTACACCTGAGTTGACACAGTTTTAGGTAGTTGCAATCATCATACCAAGTCTTTCTTTTTCAATTTCCATTATCATTAGTATTTATCATGTTGCCTGATAATATCTTAAATGAATTTTTACAAGTTTTTTTTAAGGCACAGAGCCTGGCACATTCTAGGGCCTCAAAAATCACTTTTTTTTATAATGAATGGATAAAAAGATTTTAAATAATATAAATTAAATCCAGGATGTTGGAATTGTCGTAAAATAGCTGACATCATATATCAGCTATCGGATTGCTCCTTTGTCTTATTTGTATCCCTTATTTGTATTTATTTTATCTTGAAATATTATATACATCTCTGTGCCACTTAAGTTCTTTTAGGATTAGGGCATCACCAAACCTTGATGAAAACCTGCTTTATTTCCTTCTGCCTTTACTCACTCAGCTGAGATGGAGGGGTGGAGGAGGTTACGTGAGCCCATAAATATGCCTGATATCTGCCCCTCCCCTTCCCACAAATGTCCCCAGAGACTGCTCTCCAAGGATATTTTTTCTCCCTCCAAGATGCTCCTGAAGTAGTTCTGAGAGAAAAGCAAAGATGAACCAAAGAGCATATCTAAGAATTTCCCCTTTCTGGACCCTCACATATCTAAGGAAGTTTGCAAATACATAGCTGCCATAGCTGTTATCTGTGGGGTGGGCAGGACTGTTTGATTATTACAGAGAAATGTAGGGAGAGGAGACAAAGCAGTGTTTCCAATGTAGGCAACTAGCTTTTGTAAAAGAGGCCTAACCCATTCAAGATATCTTAATAAGGGGAAAGAAAAACCCTTCTAACTTTGAAGACACTAAGGAAAAGTGTATAAAGGATGAAGACATCTTTGTTGTAGCTAGATTAGTAGTCATAGGTCGGTTTTGATCCTGCGGAATTCTATTTTAGTTCCATATGCATGTCTTACAGTCCTCATGTGTATTAGTTTGCTCGGGCTGCCTTAACAAAGTAGCAGCAGACTGGATGGCTGAAACAACAGAAATTTACTTTATCACAATTCTGGAGGCTAAAACTCTGAGATCAAGGTCCCAGCAGGGCTGGTCTCTTCCAAGGCCTCCCTCTTTAGCTTAAAGATGCTGGTCTTCTCCCTGTGCCTTCAGTCTTCCCTCTGTAACTATCTGTGCCCAAGTTTCCTCTTCTTTATGAGGGCACCAATCGTACTGGATTATGGCCCCACCCTAATGACCTTATTTAGTTAGTGTAATCACCTCTTTAAAGACCCTCTCTCCAAATACAGTCACATTCTGAGGTTCTCGGGGCTAGAACTTCAACATATGAATGGCAGGGCTGCAGGGCGGGCACACAATTCAGCTGATAACAACATGCACACGCCCCGTGTGTGTGTGTGTGTGTGTGTGTGTGTGTGTGTGTGTGTGAGAGAGAGAGAGAGAGAGTTTGTGTGTATGGTCAATGTATGAAGTCTATTTCCATCCCTTTTACAGGCCTAAGCAAGATTTTACTATTTTAGGTGTTATTTAATCAGTTATTCAAGAATTATTTATAAGCATCTACTATGTTCCAGACCCAGTTCTGATTATGTTAGAGGTAGTTAAGTTGAATGAGTTCTTGATGGTCACAGCCATCATTGCTTTGATGCTGATGTGATCAGGAACCCCAAGTGTTCTTTCCACTCACTTTCCAGCATGCATGTCAGGGAAAAGGAGTAGAGACCCCTGGACTTCCTGTAAGTTCCACATGGACCCTAATAGCACTGAGGACACGGAGTGTGCAAAACCTGCTTAAGAAAACTGAGTTCTGCAATACGGTGAGTTCTACACACCTAAGAATCAGTTCATCCTAAATCACGTCCTGTAGGATTTACCTAGATGGCAAGTTATTTCCAATAATGTTGCTTTCTTGTCAGTAGCAATCTAGTTAATGCAAGATATGGGATGAGGGCATGGAAAGATAAGGTACCAGCCTTGCATTTCAAAAGTTCAAAATCTAATGGTCATTCCTGAAAAGCCACGAGGAGAGAGGTCACCTCTCCTCCCTTCTTCTCTTAGACATTTCCTTCCCTTTCCCTTCTCCCCTGACCAGCCAGGAGTTCCCTTGGGCTACCACCACTGATACTCTTCAGCCCAGCTGGTGGCGCCAGGGGAGAGGGGTTTATAAGTCCCAAGCTCAGTCCTGGCTACTGCTGGTAGCATCTTCAAAAGGGTGAGTAACTACTTGTTCTGAAGAGCGCTGTATGCAGCGACTTTTCTTATAAAATATTAAAAGGTGTTCCGCCAAAGTTCTTCATTAGAAGATACAGTGATATCACAGAATTACAAGACCGGAAAGGATATTTTTGGATCAGAAGAGAAATAAATTTATGCTGCCATCCCAGATCATCAACCTAATTTCCTTCCCTAAACTTCATGGTGCCTATGGCCAGCTGGCAGGGTGTAGTTAGGGTAACGGCCCACTCTTTTGACCATCCTCCTTTGATGTGCTTGAAAGGCGGAAAGGAGTGGAAGTTGCTTCACCCTGGTTAGCCTGCTTGATAAACATAGCTGCAACACCCACAGACATAAACATTGATTTTTTTTTTTTTTCACTCCTTCAAAAGACGGCCTGCCCATCATTCTGGCCTCTTTGCAATTCCAGAAAAAAAAACCGCCTCAAGCTAATTTTCACACAGATTGCTCAAAAAGCCATTGCTAAGTTGCCTTAACTAAATGACTGGGCAGGACTAATAGAGACAGACAACACTTTTTAAAAAAATCAGATACAAGACCCACAATCTGCAATTAACTAAATCCGAAAAACATCTGATCTTTTTCCCAAAGATTGCAGCAATCTCACTGACCGGCAAATCTGGCCTGACGTGACATAGGCTATTTAGAGTCCTTATTGATCCCACCTAGTGTGAATATTCATGTGTTTGGTTGCAGAAATGTTAATGTATACTTGATTTCAGACCCTGCTCAGGGTGTTAGATAATATAGAATACATGCACTATATTACCTTTCTAAAATAAAACTTAAAAATCCTGAATTCCAGGGACTTCCCTGGTGGTGCCGTGGTCAAGAGTCCACCTGCCAGTGCAGGGGACTGGGGTTCCAGCCCTGGTCCGGGAAGACCCACGGAACAACTAGGCCTGTGCGCCACAACTACTGAGCCTGCGCTCTACAGCCCGTGAGCCACAACTACTGAGCCCATGCGCCTAGGGAACGTGCTCTGCAACAAGAGAAGCCACCGCAATGAGAAGCCCGCACACCACAACAGAGAGTAGCCCCCGCTCGCCACAACTAGAGAAAGCCCGCGCTCAACAACAAAGACCCAAGGCAGCCAAAAATAAATAAACTAAATAAATTTTTTAAAAAAATCCTGAATTCCAAAATTCACCTGGTCCCAAGGGCTTCAGATATGGCATTAAGGACCTGTAGTTTTAGGTCATAATCAGTGGCTACCCTAGAGAATTCAATACACCTACAGAGGAGTCTTTGTTTTAATTTGAATGTATTGAAGCAAAACAATGGGTGGCCTAGCGTGGGTGTTACCTTCCCTGAGCTTTGCTGGGGCAGCCTGGGCTGTCTCTTCTTTCCCTACTGACCCGAAGGCCCTGCCTCGTCCGTCGGCAGTGGCCACTCAGGGCACAGCCTATGAAGGGGAATGGAGGCCCCCATCAAGGGAGGACCAAGCTTTATCCAATTTTTGAGACTCCCAGTATATTAAAAGGTAATTAAAACCCTACTACAGAGACATAAAAATTGTATTTAAAAATATTTGCATTGAATAAATTAACCTTTTAAAATATTTATATTCCTAACAAATGATAATCATCATACTAGCGCAACAGCAATCTAATAGAATGCATCATTTAAAGCTGATGGAGATGCTCACTCGCAGTGCAGGAGGCAGTGTGGTCTGGTAAAGGGCAGCCCCTCACTGTTGGATCATGTCTTATTCCCTTATCTCTGGATATGCCTCCGTGACGGTGTGTGTGTAACTTCAGAGGACATGAGGTCAAAAGGCTACATTTGAGGTTCTGTGCCCCTGGCCCTGCTGGAGGACCCCTTGAGAGGCCCCAGGGAATTAGGGCTGGGAAGTGACAGTCAGCAGCCCTGCTGCTCCACGTGTGGGTAATCAAGAGCTGTCAGTATGCAATAAGGCCTAAGGAGAGAGATTTGTTTCCAAGTTTCCATTTTAACATCTCAAACTGTCACATCACTGATGATCTTCATTGAAGGTTTGGCTAATAAATTCAGGTAGAGAATGAAGATGCCAGCGCCTTAGAAGAGGCTAAGTTTAGCATCAAAAATCTGTGGTGTGATGCCGACTAAGACTGCTGCATTAAAATCAATTCTTTTAACCCTATTTGCTCTCATCTCCTGCTGCTACCTGGGAAGGTCCTACAGCTAATTTATCTCATGCAATGGATTAACATAGTTATCTTGGTGTTTACAAAGGAAATGGAAAGGGATTATTTGTAGTAGCGGAAATGGAAAGGGATTATTTGTAGTAGCAAAAATGAAACAAACCTCCCTAAATCCCACAGTAAGGGAACATAACGCGGCAAATCTACTCCATGGAAGAACATGCAGCTATTAAAAGCTATTACAAACCGAACACAGAACAATATAAGGCCACCGGGAATGCTTACGGTATGATGATAAATGGAAGCCCAGAAAACAAAATATTCAATACTTTCCATGTGATGATGGGGGCAAACATTTTTTCTTTCCTTTTTTTCTGTTGTTGTTTTTTTCTTTTAAATTTTTATTTTGAAAAAATTATAGACTCACATGCAGTTGAAAGAGATAACACAGTGAGATCCTGTATACCCTTCACCCAATTTCCCCAAATAGTAACGTCTTGCACAACTCTAGTATAATAGCACAACCAGGAAACTTACGATGATACAATCCATCCACCTTATTCCGATCGCACCACTTTTACATGCACTCAGTCACTTGTGTGTGTGTGTGCACTTAGTTCCATCGAATGTCACCACGTGTGCAGATTATGTGGCCACCATCACAGACCAGACACAGACCATTTCCATCGCAAGGATGCCCTGAGCTACCCTTTTAGAACCACAGCCACTTCTCTCCCTTTTGTTATTGTCTTTAGTGAGACAAAGACTTGGGCAAGATTTGGTCCAGGATAAGGAAAATATTTTAACAACTAATTTTTCAGATGGTGAGATCTATAAGTGGGTTTTCCCTTTATTCCAAAAAAAAGCAAAAAAGAAAGCCAGTGTTATGTGGTAGGTCTGTCCACCCTTCCGGCCTGGTCATCAAACTTCAAGTTTATAAGTTTAGGGTGTTTTGGGGTTGCAATGGGTTTTTGCCACTATGGCTATTGTTCTGCTTGTTTTGTTTTTAACAGCTGCACAGGGGCTTTTGATGATAAATCCTGCTGAGCCCTGAGCCAGTCTGGCCCAGAGTTACACAGATGGCTCAGGAATGAGGGCTGAGCAGGGGAAGGTGGGGCTGGCTTCAGAAACTCAGCTCCTAGCTCTCCTCTGAGCCAATGCAAGACTGAACTCCCATCCTCCTTTCATTTAAAACCAAACCAGCCCCTCTGCCTCCCAAGAAACGCTCACTGAGCCTGACTTTTATGGTCCTGTGATTTATTTTCATGCCAACAATTGTTTGATATCTAAGAGCATCCTAAATTATTCATGCATTACCCACATTACAAGGGTCCTTTAAAAACTACTACTACTGAGGCTTTTGTCTGGCCCTCAGCTCCTTTCATTTTCCTGAGGATGCTATGTGGGGCCTTTCCAGGGCTGGGGGGTCGTGAATACTTCTTTGATGTATATGAGGACAAGAGTTAGAAAAATGGGGGCCCAACTAATAAAGGAAGGGAAGAAAATGGGGGGAGATATTTCATGACCATTAAGCTTAAAGAAATCCCCTGGGCAGCACCGGCCTCTCTGATTCTTTGACACCCTCACCTGTTCATTCTACACCCTGGATTTTTTTTTTTTTAATATTTATTCATTTATTTATTTGGCTGTGCCAGGTCTTTGCTGCTGCACGCAGGCTCTTAGTTGTGGCATGCGGGATCTAGTTCCCTGACCAGAGATCGAACCTGGACCCCCTGCATTGGGAGCGTGGAGTCTTAACCACTGGACCACCAGGGAAGTCCCTACACTTTGGATTTTAATGAATCCTTTAGGCAGGCACCCTCCCAATGGCTGGTCTTGAAGGTTCAAATCCTCCTCCAAAACCTCAGAAACTAGAATTTTAGCCTCCCTGGGCTACAGTCCTGCAGCCTCTGTGTATTCACCCAAGTCTGGAAAACTTAAGTTGTTTTTCTGCTAAGAATTATTCAAAGGCCAGGTGACTTTTTTTTTTTTAATGCTCTGTCGGGATGCTTACAATGATCATCCATTATTCCAGGTCACTGCTGGTTACAGCTCCATCTCATGGGGTCGGAAAGGGGCCGACAGGACTTAGAAAGAAGGAAGGACGTCTGTCTGTGAATTGGGTTACAGGAGCTGACTGGCTGACCAACCAGAAGGCAAAGCACCACCTACCTGTCAGCCCTGAAAGACAGAAAAAATGGTGCCAGTCACCAAGCGGTGCTGCCGCCTCCAGGGAACACGGGCTTGAGTGAGTGACCATGACAGCAAGCAGTGCTAGAAACCCCAGTCGTGGTCGCTTGAGTAACAGAACTCCAGAGAAGCAGGAATAAGCTTATTCAAAACGGCTACACATCTAGCGTACTATTACCCCTGATGCTCAGCGTACTTTGTGAAACTGTTAACTTGGCATTCACTAATCACAGACACAATTTTCTGGGAAAAAGCAGGAGGAAAGATTTCTTCGCCGCAGCCACCTTCAGTCAATTTCAGCCATCAACTCAGCTGCTGACTCCTTCTTAGACAAAAATGTTCTTCACCCGACAATTGAAAAGACCATAGTCGTGTCTCCACACACCCCCTTCCAATCTCCTGATTTAACAGCAAGTCACTCCTTGGCATAAAACCTTCTGGTGGCTTCCACCACCCTTAGATTAAAATCCAAGCCCCCGCCTGCTTCTCCACCTCATGGGATGCTGTCCTCTCCTTCCCTGCCCTCGGCCACACTGGTCTCTCTGTGGCTCGAAACACATACGTTAAGCCATCCCTGCCTTAGGCCTTGGCACCGTTCCTTCCTCTGCCCGCAGCGCACTCCCTATGTGGAAGAGGGTCCCCTACACCACCTCCTTTACCTTCCTCAGAGCTTTTATCGCTATCACAACTTATTATTTGTGTCTCCCCAAAACAGAAAGGGAGAAGGATTTTGTCTGCCTTAATCATTATGTGTCTTTAGTATGTAGAGAAGTGCCTGGTCCATAGTAAGTCCTCACAAAGTATCTGTGGAGTGAAATGAATGAATGTCTTGTGTGTAAAAATGACACCAATGACTCCATCACTAAGAAACAGACTTTGAGTTGACCTTCAGCCCAGAGGCGTGGGCTGTGCTGAGCTATCACCCTCTCCTGGAGGGCTCCTGATAAGCAATTGCCCATGTTTGCCAAGAGTCCATGCCAGGGTTAGGGGCACAATAGGAAAGAATGGGACAGAAAAATCAGACCCGCCTCATATGGAGATTAAACCCAAGACATTTCCATCTAACCTTGTAACGGGCCACAATGGGGAAATCAGGGCTGCGTTTTTAACACTTTCTTTTTTAACACTTCTTTCTTTTTTAACAATTTCTTTAAATTCTGTATTGCCCACCAAAGCCAAATGACCTTCTGGTTGCTTTTCTCACAAGTGAAAACAAAATTAATGGAGAGATAACAAAGTGAAGCTAGCTGCCTGCAGAGAGGCCTTTGCTTTCGCTGGGAGAGGTGTCAGAGGTGTTCCGCGTACCTGTCATGAGGAAAAGGAGTCCGGCCACATGCTGGGTCAGGCTTTCCTCCCAGAAGAAGCTGACCATGGCCACAATGCAGCCACAGAGCAGGACGGCCACAGCCATGCCCAGGAAGCCAGCAGTGATTCTTCTTAAATCTAATCTCAAAACACAAACATTCAAGATAATAAGCAGAAGAAGGAGAGTTATTGAAAATTCGAGAATGAAGAGCTTTGTATACATTGTGAAAACTAAAATACGTTACATGGACAGGTGTAGGGTCTTCAGGGCCACGGTGATTTAGGAAATAAACTTCCTAGGTATTTCATAAGAGGACAGATGGGGTGTAACAAGTTGAGGGGTCAGCATCTACCCTCCCTGAGTCCATGGAGAAGTCCGTATCAAGTAGAAAATAGACCAGCGGACACCAGGGTAAACAAGGGTAAGAGGTAAAAAGTTACTTAGTAAACTGACAGTGAGGAAGGTTTGCAAAAGATCTTTATTATCCTCCAAAGAGCAACAGAATCATAGGTCACCACCACTGTAGTGGCTGTAATTAATCTGACTTTGGGGAAAGAGCCTAAAAACTGAGATATAGTGAAATATGGTTTGACCTGTGCACCAAGGATGCCAATTACTTTATTTTTAAGTTATACTTCCTCCTGCCTATTTTCAAAAAGGATTTGAGAAAGTGAAGGCAACCGTAACTGAAATAGGGCCCAACATGCACATATAGGACATCTACTCATTAAGGCCCTCTTCCCTTAAACATAGGCCCTACAACCCAAGCTCCCAAGTACCCAGGTTAAGAAAAGGCTGTTCCCGTGGGCCAAGCCCCACTGAACACACAAGAAGTTTGGTCTATCACAAAAACACGACTGTGATCACTGGGCCAGGAACCCAGGCCCTGGCCCACCTTCTAGGCCAAAGCAAGAGATGGACTGGCTGGACGTATGGGTACACTTCCACTCCAGTTGCCCACCCTCCTGCTTTTTTGCTTTTTCTTTCTATTTCCCTCCCTTTTTTTTTTTTTTTTTTGAATGAAGCTAATTTTAAAAATCGTGAGCTAGATTTCTCTGATCCTTCTTGGAGCAACAGATCCCAAACATAAGTCTGCCGCTGAAGCCAGTGAACAGGTCTAGGCAAGGTGGACCGTGCACTCCTGCACACACATGGAACCAAGACCAGAGGCACACCCCGCTGTGTGAGCGTGGGCTGCTCTGCGAAGGCGCCCAGGCAGCCACCACCTCACTGTGTGTTCCTGTGGCCTCTGGCAACACGGGATGATGTATACAGGGTGGATCACGGTAGCTTTCAGCCTTGCCCTTGTCACACGTGGTCCATCCCTTTCTTTTCAAGGGATTTTTCATTTCTAGCTCAGAGCATCTAAACTGAAGCAGGGCGTTGCAGCCTAGAAGGGGCAGTGTAGACCACCACAGAGCTAGGGGTCACGGGCACTGATCATTTAAAGGGGCTGTTTAATATTAAGGTGTAAGTCGTTCTGAGACATCCAGTGTAATCATAGCTCAGTCACCATTCTCTCACAACCTCCTAAACTCCCTGTGGTTCGAGTTTTATTTTCTATGGCCATTAAAAGGCACAAGGTTCAGATATAATCCACATGGGATTTGCCTTAGTACGGGATATGCTAAGCTTATCTGGTAAACATGGTACAGATCACCAAGTGTGACTTTCTTGGAAAAAGCCATGCCTGAGACTGCCGAAAGCATCTTTCCATGAGAACCTCAGAGAGGATTAAGAGGAGAATGCTCAGTACTGTCTTGCTGGGCAGTAACAGGGTACAAACTCTTAAAGAGATAAGGTTCTTTTTCAGGACCCTGTGATGATCTTTTCTTGCCAAAAACCAGTGACTGTGTGGCTTTCTGCATAGATGATTAAGGCAAAGAACTCCAAACATGCTCATAAAGAATGAAGATGTAAGAAGACTTAGATAAGGCTCTAACTAAGATCTGCTGAGAAATGACCATTAAGATCAGCCAGCAAGAGATAATTTTCAGGAAGTGATACTACTCAGAAATAAACCACATTTTAGCCAATGACTTTCCAAGTCCTAAATTTGCAGATCATAATATTTATAACATTACACCACTGCTGTGGGCAATATCTTAAGAGCTTCCATTTACATCTTTGAGATTCAAAATAGAGCCCTTTGATCTGTAGAGAGACTTGACTTTACAAAATGAAACTCTACTTGGCTTCCTGTAGTGACTTGGGTCACCAAACAAGATCACTGAAGTCCTTGCGTTGATTGCATTGGAAATGACAATGTCAACCTCTGATTAGGGTAAACACTAAAAAGAATTAGGCCTAGTTTTTTGCTTTCCTGAATTATCTATCCCTAGGCAACATGAATCGACAGTTTTCAGGTAAATATCAGTCCTCTTTGGTGTCACACTGCACAATCCTTTCTACAGTCTCACATTTTCCTGACAGTAAAAAAGATAGTTCCTGCCATCGGGATGTGGAGATAACAGACCCCTTCTGAGAAAATTACAACATACACTCATAAAGATATTTTAGCAGAAATACCAAGGTCTGAGATAGACACAGTAACTAAAATGAATATTGGATAAAGAAAACTAAAATAACACACCTAAGGTATAGTCTCCATGGTTTACTAAGACAAGCACCAGATCAGGGCCTTGTACCACATGGCTTGGTAAAGAATGCACTCAGGAGGTGGACTGTATACCGACGCCACAAGGACAGACACGCTCGCGGCACTGTCTCACAAAGCCCCACGCCTGACTCTCACACATCTGATCTGCAAACAAGTTGTGACCATGGCACAGTGAAATGACTCTCTGAGTCTCTGACCAAGTCGGATGGGGCCCAGAGGCCCACGTAGGATCAGCAGAGCATCTTTCGGTCCATATCTGAAAGGGCTGGTGGGAAGGCTTTTTGTTCAGAAAGACACCATTTCCTCTCTGACCCTCTCTGACCCTTTCCCAGAAATACTCACGAAGCAGGTGCCATTCATCTTGCTGGATTGTCTTGGTCAAGTTGAAAGGAATGTTTCGTAAGCGTATCGGCTGAGAAAAGTGGTACTTGATAGCTGTACATCGCTGTGCAATACCTTGAAGGAAATAAGAAATGTGATTTACTAGTCCACGCATTTGTAATAGAATTCTGGAAACTGAAGGCAGGACAATGCATCCTAAACTGGGTTGAAGGGGCAGGGGATAGGAATCTCTTGATTACTCTCATTAATAGAGACAAGTCAGAGCAGTAAAGACCCAAAACGTGAAATAATTTTTTAAATCATGTTTCATTTTTGAATGTATTAAATTTGATAAGAATCTAAACTCCCCTAATTATTTTTTCAATGTTGAATTTGTATGAACCAAACACAAAACTCCTCAAGGAGAAATGGCCTAAAAGTATACAGATGATTGGGAGAAATCAGCTTGGAATTTGAACACAGATAAATTTCACGCATCCAAATTTGATCCAACCTCAAACTCTCAAATGGGCTGAATCAAAAAGTATATCAGGAAGTGTGTTATTTGGAAACCAGAAGACATTTTTCAATAAAGAGCCTTCTATGTAGCGGTTTAAATAGTGATTAGGTCTCCAGACAGCCCACGAGAGCCTAAGTAGCCCTACAGCAGCTGACATAATTCCTTAATACACATTTTACTGATCTGAATTCTAGGTTCTAAGACAACGGGTAATATTAAAAGGAGAAAGGAGAAAGAAATGTTTTCCTCCCTTTCCTGGTTGTATGCACAATATTTTGAAATGGGCAAGTATCCACTGCTTTATCTAGTATCTTTTCCTACCTTCCCTCTCAATCCATGCTTTTATTGCATAAATTAACACAGGCCTATTTTTCCCCTAAAGTCTTCTGAATCCCACGAAAGTATCTATCTTCCTGTCAAATTAAAATGAAACAAAACTTCCTTCTTTCCTTGTAAATCACCTTGACCAGCTGTTTGGATAAATGCACTCTGATTAGATTAATTTTAAAAGAGCTGTGAGTAAATGTTAATCTTTTCACTCCGGTAGCTGTTAAAAAATATTCTCATAGATGCAAATAAATCTCTAATTGGTGGAATTTGAGTAAATGTAATTAAAAAAGTGAAATTTTTAAAAACTCAGGCATTGAAAGGGGGGATTGGTATTTGAGCACAGTTAACATCATGAGCCACTTAGTCCCTGATGGGAAGGCACCTACAGGATCACCTCCCTTGTCTCTCAATCCTCAGTATGCATAAGAATCACCTGGGGAGCTAGTTTAAAATGTAGACTCCTGGACCCAACCCAAGATATTCTGACTCAAAAGATATGGGATGGAGCCAGGAACCTGACTTTTAACAAAACATCCCAAGTAATGCGGATGCAGGCAGCTAAGAAACTACCCAGGACTATCTCTGCTTTTTCAGAATTTTTTTTTTTTCCTTATGAAACCACAGATTCTCTAAAAGCTCACAGCTCTTTCTATTTTTCTCTTTGTTTTTTCAACATAGGCCCCTGGCGGTGGTTGTGAGGTCTAAGGCATATAAGTTCGGTGTTTACATATAAGTGACGTGTTTATAAGTCAGAAAATGCCTGTGCTTACAAAGAGCAAATGACCTGGTCTGAGAACAATAAAAGATAACAGACTGCAATAATAGCTCTCATTTGTGTTTTTCAAAACTGTCATTCCACTTGATACTCATCCTCGGGCTAACCTTGAGGCTCTGTGTAAGCAGGAAGTGAAGGTTAAAGTAGAGTTGAACACATGCCCCAACACACACACAGAGCCCATTGGCAAAGACTGGGGGACTTATTGGTTCCAGGCAGTTAAGAACACTTCTGTCCAATCATTAGCATCCCACTAAGCTAGCCAAGCAGAGGCTTCAGGGCTCACATATGACAAAGGATACAGACTTTACAGAATTGGTTCAGTAGAGTCACTAAAGGAACAAACAACAACACAAAAACAATAACAAAACCTGAGGAGGAGGGAGAATCTAAATTCCAGAGTTGCTATATTATTTTAAATGTCCAGTTTCAATTAAAAAGTATAAAACATACACAGAAAAAGGCTCCTACATAGAAGAAAAATGTCAGTCCATAGAAACTGTCACTGAAGAAGCCCAGACATTGGATTTACCTAACCAAGACTTTCCGCGCGGCATGTGGAATCTTAGTTCCCCGACCAGGGATCGAACCTGCACCCCCTGCAGTGGAAGCACGGAGTCTCAACTACGGACCACCAGGGAAGTCCCTACCCAAGACTTTACATCAACTGTTTTAAATATGTTCAAAGAACTAAAGGAAACCATGTCCAAGGAACTAAAGACAAGTGTGAGAATGATGTCTCACCAAATAGAGAATATCAGTAAAGTGATGGAAAGTATGAAAAGAGACAGAAAAAAAAACAAATAGAAATTCTGAAGTTGAAAAGTATAAAAATGGAAATTTAAAAATTTACTAGAGGGGCTCAACAAAATTTTGAGCAGTCCGAAAAAAGAATCAGCAAATTTGAAGATAGATCAATTGAGATTATCCAGTCTGAGGAGTATAATGGGAGACCCAAAAAGGAGGAGAGGGAAAAGGGGACCAAAAGAATATTTGAAGAAACAGTTGTCAAAAACTTCCTAAATTTGATGAAAAACATGAATCTACACATCTAAGAAGTTTGATGAAGTACAAATAGGATAAACTCAAAGGGATCCATACCCAGACTGTTGAAAGCCAAAGATAGAGAATCTTGAAAACGGCAAGAAAAAACGTAATGTATCGTGTGTAAGAGCTCCTCAGAAGATTAGAAACTGATTTCTCATCAGAAAACATGGAGGTCAAAGGGAGTGGAATGACATATTCAAAGCACTGAAAGAAAGATTATCAACCAAGAATTCTATATTCGGCAAAGCTATCCTTCAGAAATGAAGGGAAAATGACATTTCCAGTTAAACAAAAACTGAGAGAATGTGTCACTAGCAGACCTACCCTACAAGAAATACTAAAGGGAGTCCTTCAGGCTGAATGAAAGGACAGTAACTGAATCCACATGAAGAAACAAAGAACATTTGTAATGTTACAACACAGGTAAACATAAATGGACTAAAATATAAATAGACCAAACACTCCAACCAAAAGCAGAGATTGGCATTCTAGACAAAACAACATGATCCAACTATGTGATGTCCACTAGAGACACACTTTAGATTCAAAGACACAAGTAGGTTGGAAGCAAAAGGATGGAAAACGATATATCATGAAAACAGTCACCAAAAGAGAGACGGAATAGCTATACTAACATCAGGCAAAATAGACTTTAAGACCAAAAGTGTTATTAGAGACAAAGAAAGACGTTTTATAGTGATAAAAAGGTCAATCCACTAAGAAGATATAACAACTATAAACATATTTTATCCGCTTACCAACAAAGCCCCAAAATACTTGAAAAAACTGACAGAATTAAAGGAAGAAATAGACAATTCAATAATAATAGTTGGGCACTTCAGTATTCCACTTTCAATAATGGTGGAACAACTAGATAGAAGGTCAACAAGGAAACAGAAGATTTGAACAACACTATAAACCAACTAGACAAAACACACATCTATAGACCACTTCACCAAACAGCAGAATATACATAATTTTCAAGTGCAAATAGAACACTTCCCAGCATACCCCATATTTTAGGCAATAAAACAAATCTCAATAAATTTAAAAGAAAGTCATACAAAGTATGTTCTCTGACCACAATACAATGAAATTAGAAATCAATAACAGAAGGAAAATTTGGAAATTCAGAAATTTGTGGAAATTAAGTAACACACTTCTAAACAACCAATGCATCAAAAACAAATCACAAGGGAAATTTAAAAACACTTTGAGATTAATGAAAACAAAACCACAATATATGAAAATTTATAGGATGCAGCTAAAGCAGTGCTTACCGGGAAATTTATACCTGCAAATGCCTACATTAAAAGAGAAAGTCTCAAATCAATAGCCTAACTTTCCACCTGAAGAAATTAAAAAGAGAAGAACAAACTAAACCCAAAGCAGAAGGAGAGAGATTACATAATTAGAGTGGAAACAAATGAAGTAGGGACTAGAAAAATAAGGAAAATTTAAAAAAACAAAATTTGGTTCTTTGAAAACATTAATAAAATTGACAAATCTTTATCTAGACCATTTAAGATAAAGAGAGAAGACTCAAGTTACTAAAATCAAGAATGAAACAGAAGACATTACTAACCGTCTTAGAGAAATAAAAAGTGGTATAAGAGAATACTGTGAAAAAATGATATGCCAACAAATTATATAATACAGATTAAATGATAACTTCCTAGAAAGACACAAATTACCAAGACTGACTCAAGAAGAAATAGAACATTTAAACAGATCTATATCAAGTAAAGAGAATGAGTTAATAATTAACTTAGTAAAAAAATTCCCACAAAGAAAAGTCCAGGACCAGAGAGCTTCACTGGTGAATTTTACCAAATGTTTAAAGACAAACTAACAATTTTTCATAAACTCTTCAAAAAAAAAAAAAAAAAACAGAAGAGGAGGGAACAATTCCCAAATCATTGTATGAGGCCAGTATTGCCCTGATACAAAAAACAAAGGTATCACAAGAAAAGAATATTACAAAATATTTCTTATGAATATGTATTCAGAAGTCCTCAACAAGGTGCTAGCAAAGTGAATTCAGCAACATATAAAAAGGATTGTACATCACGACCAAATGGGATTTATGCCAGGAATGTAAGGTTGGTTCAACATATGAAGATGAATTAATGTAATATACCTTATCGATAGAATAAAGCACAGAAATCACCTCATAGATGCCAAAAAAAAAAAGCATTGACAAAATCCATTTGATACCCACCAAAATCCCCTATGAGCTAAATATGAAATAGGTATTATTAGCTCCATTAAGCAGGTAGAAAAATCTGAAGCTCAGAGAGGTTAAGTAACTAGCCCAAGGCCACAGTGCAAAGCAAAAACCAAGCTTTTAACATATATGGTGTTACCCAAACTTTGTATAATGCTCACTCAGGAAAGTTAGAAATCCTTACGCTTTTAGAAATGCATCTTAATTCTGTGGGTAGTGAGAACTGCAGCTTTTTT